TAAGATCAAATGTGTTTGTAAAGCAACTTTGATATTAAAGGCTCTGGCAATGGAAAAGCTTTAAAAAAAAAATTACAGTGTGAGCCCAAAGCAAGGTATTTTAATAAAAGTAGGCTGACAAAGCTGTTAAAGGGGAAGTAAGTTTTTCATTTGTAGTCTGAAAATGCAAAGCTGGGTGGAAGAACTGCCTCATAGTATTCTCACCCCTTGGGTAAAGCGCTAGATGCAGCAGAAGGTTTCCATCTGCGGCAGTTTTGTCGGCTCTGAGCTGTGACCCTGTATCCAAGGCAACTGTTTCTGGATGTTAGGTGGTAAGGAGCTATAAAATAAATGAGAGGTAGTTGTGAAATATACAGGTATGACTATCAGGGGCAATAAAGATGAAATGCTAACAGGTTGGAAGTGGCGTTGAAGGGAGCACGAGAATCCAAATATGGAATTTAGGTCAAAATTCAGAATATTATAATACGTTCCGTGATACAGTATACATATTATTCAGTAAAGACCAACCAAGACTGTGGAAAGCCATGAACTAAAGCAAGGGTGGAACAGACATGAAATAAAAATGGTTGCTCTTAGTTTATCTGCCTGTGTTCTGTAACCCACATGTCTTGGGGACCAGCCCCATAAGAGCTTAGTCTTTATGTTGCAAGAACTTCTTACCCTCTGGAAGAAGCATTCTGATTATAATTTTTTTGTTGATTTCTGAAAAATAGTTTGTTTAAAAAGTTATATTCAACCATTTTAGTTTCTTTTGATTCCTTTAAATATAACTGTGTTATTAAGAGGCGATAGAGGTGATGCTACTCTCATCATGATCATGATCATCATCTCATCATGATCATCATCTCATCATTTTAAATTTCTGGGATTTAAAATGATTGCTCAGTTGTGCTGACTTGTTGTATGAGCCAAGTCCCATGGCAAGATGCCTCTATAAGAAGAGATGAGGGCCTGGCTGAAAAAACAGGGACATACAATGCCATGGTAAAGGCTGGAAGACTTCCTTGTGTTCACTTTTCAAGGTGACCAAAACTTTCCTCTGTCTCTGGTTAAATATGTCTTTACTGGAAAGTTGTTGACCCCTTCAATCTCAAAATATAGTAATGCAAGGTAATTGCCAAACTGATTGGCCTGAGAGAAGAGCTTGCAGATACTAAAGCTGCTACACCCTCTTGCTTTCTGGCACCAGCCATCTCTTTTACCCATTAAAAAATGGGTATAAGAAAAGAAGAGCAATGGGAAACATATCACAAGGCACGTAAGTCTTTACAAGTTTGTCCACTTGCACTACCTCTTGAATCCATCACCAGCTTATGTAAATTAAAGGTCCAGATGAGCAGAATATTAATCACAAAACCTATCATGCAAGTCAGGATGAGGGTCTCATTAGGTGCCAGCACTTTCTCATGACAGGCTGCTGAAGGATAAGTGTTACCCAAGTGTTGTTATCAACTCGCCTCTACTAATTCTGTTTGTATTGGGAGAAATATCAAACTGCTGAAGTTCATGCTGCCACAGAGCTTGTATCTGAAGTGGTGGGGCAGAATTAGCACAAAAGTTGTGTCTGAGCCACACAAAGTCAACCCCAAGGTGCCTGTACAATATATGTCAGGGCCATGAAAAATGCAAAGCACTGTTGTACTTTTTTCCTTACACTGTCTCAGAAGCACAAGCAGTTCTGGATGAATTCGTTTGACCCAGGTGTCATGATGTCTTTGGCCTTGAGCAGGGGCTGAGCTCAGGTGTGTTGTACAGAACACATCAGGACTAACACCTCGTGGTCCAGGTGCTGCCAAAGGAACAAACAGTTAGAGAAGGAAGATCCTGTATGAAGAGTACATGAGCACACTCCTATCTGCTAGCTGTTGACCTGAAGTTACTGTATCTGCCTGGTCTTACTTTTGCCTGTTTTATGTAAGTCTTAGCACTCCCGTTGCTATGATGGGTCCTTTCACCTTGCATAGCTACGTACTGAATTTTGGTAACATTATGCTTAAGAAAATCTTCCTTAAACAATCCACATCAAAAATATAAAGCTTCACCACCTCTTATGAATGATTACCAGAAAATACTAAAAAGCTTCAGCACATTTACACATCCAAACTGTCACTATCTCTCTTTTTTTTTTTAATTAATAAATGTGTCTAGCCATATGTGTGACAATAAACCCATTTATTTTGATGGTGATGTTCACATGCTTGCTGTGAAGCACATGTTTAAATGCTTTGCTGACAAGGCATGGGCGAACAGATGCCTTCTCCATAATGAGCTGGCCGGGTATCCCTAGCTGGCAACCACAGCAGGCTCTCCAGCTTCTTCTGGGCACCAGACACTAGTGGATATTCATCATCAAATGAGAAAGCTCCCACAAGCAGCCTGCCTGACCCAGATAACGGATTCACCACACAGAGGAGGAGGAGGAGGAACCGAGAGGAGCGTCTCATTCCCCCGCGTTAAATCTCAGACCCCAAGGCAGGCCTTGTGAGATCTGCTCAAAAGTGGTCTTTTAGCACAATAAAATGGAGAGACCGTGGGTCCAGAAAACAGAATCTGATGACCCCTTTGGTAATTTTTTATTTTCTGGTAATACTGTGCAAGTTTTTCACTGTCTTTTACAGAAAAGACTGTTTCTACTGAAGATACTGATGTAGTACAGTCCGAATGCTGTCACACAGCTGTGTCCAAGCATGCCAAATCTGTCGTGAAAGTAGGACCAGCTCTATCCTCGTGCATCTTCATGTAATTGAAAAGATATTTCCAAGTTTAGTTGTCACGAGCATTTACATTTTCATCAACAAATGTGAAATTCATGAAGTATGAAGGTAGCACAAATAAATTACCCAGAAAAATACAGCCATTACAAAAATAAATCAATAGATTTCAAGCAGCAATCTCAACTCATTATATACAGGGAATATTTTCCTGTTGGTGTTTAAAGGTGCGTCATGATAATAAGCTGGATTTAATTATTTCATTATGCTCTACACTAAAAGTAGCTAATTTTTCTTTGCAAACTTTCATTTATGTGGTCTGACATTGATATTTACCTCCCTGAATATGTTACTCGCTCAGCATTTTCACGGTACAATAAGGTAAAGAAATTTCAGCATGTGGATTTTTCACAAACCATTAATTTAGATTAGATGTGGTTATTTATTCATGGGACATGAGCAGTCACCCCACTCCCACCAGTATGCTTTTTGACTGAACCACCGAGCATTTTTACAGGGAAGAATAGCAGAACAAGGGCAATACATACGGAACTGAGTTTCAGAAGAATCTTCCTGAGATAGTGTGTGGAACATACGTAGTTCCTTTTCATAAAATAACTGGTATCAGCAAATAACATGGGGCAAACTTACTGTATTTATTTGCATGCAAATTTAAGATCACTGTTATTTAATAATCTATAGCTGCAAGGTATTATTGCTTATATATAAAATTATGTGTATGAGTAATGTCAGAAGACAATTCTTGTAAAGAAGAGGCGAATTAATATTGCTGCTGGATCTTTCCAGAGTTTGTATACTCTGATTTTTCTATTTAGCTCTGTGGCAGTGTTTTTTCCTGCTGTAATTATCAGTCTGCAAGATCCCAGTGCTCCCAGTCTGCCAGGCGGCTCTGCAGCGGGGGTATCTTGCGGATGACTTAAAATGGGACCATGGCTTTTCCTTCCTTCTGTGATTATATCAGGTGGGCTAGTCGCAGTTGGGTTTTGGTTAAGACTTTCAAGTGCTGTTACTTTTAAAACAATATTCAGTCTTTGGGAGGTGGGTTTGTTTTTCTGTTACACAATTTGAAACCTTCCATTGTCTCAGTGGTAGTTGTATTATCAGCCCTCGATAACAACAGTTACGCTGGGTTACAGCTTGTCAATAAAGAGCTTAAACGTTCCATCAGACCACGTGTGAGAGCAGGGAAATGGCCTCTTCACCTCATCTTGTCTCAAGGTGGTTTGGGCTCAGGAATGCTTCCACCTGCATTTAGAGTGGTGTTTCTCTGTTAATATCATCTTTCTTCTCTGTGGGGATGTTTTGCTCTCTTGAGTTCTGCTTATCTCATTGAGCTTTCTGGCGCCTTCTTTGTCCACTGAGATGGGATCTTTGTTTAGTTACATACATCCTGAGCTTACGCATGAAAAACCATGTCATTAATGTTACTCATTTGTCTCCACACCTTAGGTTTTGGGATGACCACACCAGCAACCGTGGCTGGAAAAGTATTCCTCATCGTTTATGGCCTTTTTGGGTGTGCCGGGACTATCCTTTTCTTCAACCTCTTCTTGGAGCGCATTATCTCTCTCTTGGCGTTTATCATGAAGGCATGCCACGAGAGACAGCTGCGAAGAAGTGGTCTCCTACCTCCCAACTTCCGAAGGGGGCCAGCCATGTCGGGGGTGGGCAGCCTTGTGGGGTGGAAGCCATCCGTTTACCATGTGATGCTGATTCTGGGAATTTTTGCGATCACCCTTTCCTGCTGCGCTTCCGCAATGTACACGGCGGTGGAAGGATGGAACTACATTGACTCCTTGTACTATTGCTTTGTCACCTTCAGCACCATCGGCTTTGGAGATTTGGTGAGCAGCCAAAATGCTGCATACCAAAATCAGGGATTATATAGATTCGGAAACTTCATCTTTATATTAATGGGGGTATGTTGCATATACTCTCTTTTTAATGTCATCTCAATCGTAATCAAGCAAGTTTTGAACTGGGTGTTGAAAAAATTTGAATGCAGATGTTGCCCAAAGTGCCATAAATCAAGTGCCCGCCTTGGACGTCGTAACGCCATCACCCCCGGAGCCCGCCTACGTCGACATAACATTTCCATGGACGCTGATGGACAGTACGACAGCGATACCGAGGGGAGGAGGCTCTCTGGAGAGATGATCTCCATGAGGGAGCTCACGGCATCAAATAAAGTCTCCCTGGCCATTTTGCAAAAGCAGTTGTCCGAGACGGCCAATGGCTACCCAAGGAACGTTTGTATCAATACAAGACAAAACGGTTTCTCTGCAGGGGTGGGTGCTCTAGCCATCATGAACAACCGCTTGGCAGAAACAAGTGATTCTAGGTAGAGTTTTTGAAATTCCTTTTGTTTCTATAATAAAAATAAAATGGTGATTAGGGTGGAATGATCCCTGTAAACTACTGGAAAGTTTTAAATTCAGACAGTCTTGGTATTCATTGGGTGTTCAGCATTTTAGTTTCTGGGGGTTTTATAAGTCTTCTCTAATATGCAGTAACATCTTTACAGGAATGTTATAATTCTCCCAAAGGAGAAATTTTGGAAGAGACTTGGTTGTCTTTGATGCAGAATGTGATACAATTATAGAAGAATGGTGTGCATGGTTACAATGGTGTCAAAATCAACATGTTCTTCTTCAGAACACAGCCTGAACCCAAACTCTGGGTTAAAATGAATAAAATGGGCAAATTTGGCTCAAGATTCAAACTTGTGGTTCATAAGGTTTGGCTAAACCAGTATCTCACCATTTGTTGAAGTCTGGATCTGGCCTTGAACTTTGTAGTCAGTACTCTTCAGCGATTCCTCCTAGCAGGCCTGTATATAACATACACGTAGGTGACTGCAGTTACACCAGCTTTGGGGTGACTGTGCTTCACTTGAATATTCCTACTGACTTCAGTGGCAGAGGATCAAATGGGCTGAATTCCCCTGACTATAAATGTTTCTTAGCCAGTCTTGTCTGAAACACTACCTGCTTCCTAACTCTTAAAAGTCAGGGGATTATCAAGAACCGTGTTAAAATGTGCAAAACTATTCCTACCTGCTGAATTACTGAAAACGGGCAATTGTCAGCTTCAGTACTGACTTCATTTAATGCAAGAGAAGTCAGTACACACCTTTGGTGTCAAATGTTTGCATCACCACTGAAATACTTATTTCATTACTTTTACATGAAAATAAGTAGCTAAAATGGATGTAGGCTCTCTTGTCCTAAATTTGCATCTTTACTTCTGCAATATTGTTGCAGAGATTCATGCAAATTATGTCTTTGCAATTCTTTTGGGACCCCAATCCTGTACTTGTTTCCCACAAATCTGGCTGTGAAGGTTATACAATACAGAGCGTTGCTTTGGAGCTCCCCTAGAAGATGGCTTCCCCCAAAACGCTGGTACTGAGTCATAAATTGGCCTAAGTCTGTTGCTGCTGTCTTAAGTCATGTCAAAGCTGTTCTAGTCCAAACCACTGAAGAACCAGAAGTATCTTCAAGCAAACCTGGTCTAAGTATCTAGTATAGCATGACAAATGGGTGCATAGGAATTACTGCAAATCTCTTTCAGAAATATGTGCAAAGCTCTGGGTCTTTGCTCTAAATTCTCTATACTATGCCTCTCCTTTAATGCTGTGAAGGTAATGAAAAGGCTTCTGCTGATTCCAGCAAGAAATATAACTTAAACTTGAAATCTGAGAAGCCACAATGGTCAGCTCCTCAAAACAACTTGGGTAATTATAGAGAGGATCGTGAGTGCTAGGTTAATTGCTGAATAAATTGAAAAAAGCTGATGAGAACAAACTGGGAGTATTAGAAATGTTTGAAAATATTTCCATGAAGTTTCTTACAGATAGTTTACTCTGTTGTTTATTTACTTTACTTTGTTTTGCATGGGTTTGGGGTATCCATCAGTTTGCTTTCCTTTAAATTTGTAGTAGTGCAAAACATTCTGGAATTTAACCTCAGAAAACTAACTTTTAATTTGAGTTTTTGCACACTTGAGCCTGCCAGCTGACTGTATCTTTTGCCTGAAGGAGAAGGAACCAGAGCAGCAAATAAACCATCACACATGGATCTGTATCATACTATAAATGTAGTCACAGCTTTTATCAAGATGCATTTGGCCAGAAACACTCAATGGTGTTTGTGTTCTGTATCTACCCGATACAGACTCATACTGAGAGTATGTGGTATGGCAGAGACCACATTCAAGAGGCATTCATCTGGCAGGAGCTTCCCTGGTGGCAGAGACACCCTCTATGGTCCAAGTGTCCATGTGCCTGTCTGTCTGTGCGCTGCATCTCAGGTGCTGTGTTTGAGTGGCCTTCTGAAGAAGCAGGCAGAGGTGAAAGTGTTTGGTGATCCTAATTTGAAGCCCACTGGAGGATAAATTTAGGCAGGATGTGTAGGGGCAGGTCGTGCATGGTCTGGGAAAGATTCAAAGACCAACTACAAAGACCCAGTTTGGAAAGGTGACTTCCAGAGCTGCAGGGACCATTTTTGGAAACAGCAGAGGCGGGGAACCAAAAGAATAAAAACTTGTTCTTTTCCTTCCCCAGGGATAAAACTCTTTACTGTGATGATTTATGTGTTTGTTTATTAAGAGTGTGTGTGGGGCACTGCTCCATTTTGCAGCTAGACCTCTCGTAGGGTTGTATCTCGGTACATTTGCTGTCGTGGGGACTATTACTCATTCGAATGGACCTCGTTGTGTGAAGTGCTGCATAAATTGAGGCAGACAGGCTCTGTCCCAAAGGTCTTAAGAGTTTGAATAGATAGGATCCCAAGCCACAGCAGAATTACTTAGTTTTATCATTTTACTTCTAAACATGTTCAAATGCATTAACATTCTGTGAGCTCGAGAACTATATTTTTGTGATAACAAATTTGCAAATTAAGGGGTTTTATTTTTTCAGTAAGTTGTTTTTAAGGGATAAATATTATAACTATGATTAGGGACCCGTTTAAATGTTTGTAAATTGTTTTCAAGCTACCTATTCCTCTCTGGGAAATAGATGATGTAATATGAAATTGTACATACCTTCTCTCCCATTTCTGTACTTTTTTTGAGTCCAGTCAAAGGCAGACACCGAGTCTGTTGTAATATGATTTCAATGTTTCTTGAGTCTTTTTGGTACCGTTGGTCACAGTGGTGCCATTGCAGGACCCTTTGCAGTTCCTGTTGACTTCAGGGGGGGTTGAATTGGTTCCCAGAGCTGGGTTCCCCAGGGGATTTGGGCATATGGTTGCTACTCTATGCACTTAGGTCTGATATTTCTTTACTCCCAAGATCCTTGATCAACTCCATTCTGCTTCTCCTTAGCCTCAGAAGCATGTAAAGTGCATGCTCAGTTTTCTACTGGTTCCCTTATTTCTTGCAGCAAACATATCCCCAGAAGCTGACACAACTCAACCACAGGGACCTCCAGCTTGTATCTAAGCCCTGTAAAAATCCCCACCCCCATCTGGTTTAGCAAGGCCTGAACTGGATCTCACAAGGGGTGGCCTTACAGTTCCCTCATACTCGGTAGCCAAAGTATTTTTCAAGGATGCATGAAAACCAAGCTCGAAATCTCTACTCTTCTGCCTGTTAGCACTGCCTGGGCACCCATCGCCCATCTGCATGAATATGTGATCCAAGAGGATATAGGAGTTTTGAGGTCAGTCTTTCCTAATCCTTCCTGCTCTTTCTTTAGCTTTTTTTATGACAACTTCTCTTTAAACTTGCCAGACTTCAGCACCTAACTCCTTTTTTATTGTGCATGGTCCAACTCAGGATTCCCCACGGCAGTCTGCTCCTTTTGTGAATTAAACCCTAAACATGAACCAGTTGCACCAAGTGCAGTTCCTTCTGGTATTTCATTTTCACAGACATAGCAGATAACCTGCAATATGCAGACAGAGGCTGAAGCACAAGAAATCAGAATGAAACTGAAGGAGCAGAGTGGGACAGTGAAAGCACACTGCACTAGATTGCACTTTCTTTTCAGGTAACTTGGGAGTTGCATTACATTCTTGAAATGTTTTGGGTTTTTTTCCATTTTATTTTTGGATAGCCTTGAAAGAATGCAATTAACTCTAGGATTTAAAAGTTCATCTTCCCTGATAAAGCCCCCTCAAAACAGCACCAGTGACTCCTTGCTGGCACAGACCCAGGCATCCCAGATGCCTGCTGAGCAGCTGTACAGGCAGCACGGACGGGAGCTCAGCCCCCTTGTCCCACATTGGTCTTTTGCTCTCTGAGCCTGATAAGAGCATTCAGGAGCAGCAGAACGCTACAAGACATAGGACTGCTCTGTGAGACAGTCCCTAGTGAGAGCAATGATTGCACAGGCATGAGCTGCTCAGACCTCCAGCACAAAGGGAGGAGATACTGTGTCCACCTGGCCAGCATGCCAATACCTTGCAGGTGAGAATTAAAATATAAGTGAAAATTAATAAGGGACAATGACCAAATTCAAGCTACTTCTCTTTCAACTGGAGCTCAGGGCAGAACAGTTACAAGGAACAGTTTCTTACGAAACCTGTAGTGTTCAACAAGTCACTACATTTACTTTTTAGGGTTTGTCTTTCCCCTGTGTGTGTCTCAAAATTAGGAGTCACACTGGGATGACATCTGATTCTCTTTGGTTTCTTCCCATCTGCAAACACACTTCTTATTTTGTGCAAAAAATCCAGATCGCTTTTTTTTCCTTGCAATGCAAAGGATGTCCTTCAAACGCCATAAATGTTCAGAGAAGTAATCTGTTTGACGTGAGTCACACATGGAAGTTTCTCAAGGACAAGGCTGTAGTTGGCCCATCTCTCTGCAGAAGAAGCATTGCACAAGTAACTCCCATTACTGCTAGCAAGGCAGACAAAGGTACTTTGGCAGTGGTTGGGGCTTTGCAGTAGTAGGCACAACTAAAAGCAGAAAAAATGTCTGTTATAAAGGATATTTGTGCCTCTTTGACATGTACTTGGTATTTGATAGCCCAATTGCCAGCTCTAATTGCACCAAAAATAGCCAGTAGAAGAAAAGAGAGGTATAAGAATCACATTAAAGCTCTTGGTGACCGCCCCATGCCACGCTCGGGTTACCCAGAGATGCACTGCGATGCTGCCTGTCGGTGTAGCACTGGTGTCCCAGCACGGCTTCAACCCTGGCCCTTGGTCTCTTCTCCTCCCTGACTTTCTGTGGCTGAAAATTTGGGTACACTACCTCCATTTACCTGTATTTCAGTCCTGTCTTGACTTGCTACTGAAAGGAGGACTTTAGCAGCAGTGGTGGCCATGTAGCCAGGCGCGCGGGCTCAGTATAAACCTGATTGCCTGTGTGGGATGAATTTATAATTATATGG